CAGTGTTGAAGTAAGGTCAAAACCTTTCAGCATTGTACCAGTGTATCAAAATATGTCAACAAACCATCATACGGTAAGAAGAAGAATGACCTTTCAGTTCTTTATGTTTGGGCTGCCAATGAAGCTCTGGATACTGGGTATGCATGAACAGTTTTCCCAGCCTCTTGACAAATGCAACTCCCAAGGTTTCCTCCAAGTCAAGTTGTTAAACCACTAGCTTTCAATTCACCAGTACAATTTTTTAAACCATTTGCAACTGGAGAATATTGATCTTGCTATAGAACAGACACGCATAAATCCACAGCATAACTCCCTCTTCCCCTACCACGTACAATCAGACAACAATTATTAAAGAGTCTTCACAGTAAGGTGTCAAAACATTTTAAACAGCTGAACAGAAAAAATGTATATTGTTCCGATGTTCTGAGTCAGCCTTTGCTCACATGTGATTCTTCCTTATAGTCAACTGCAAATGAATTTGAACAGAACACCCTGCTTAAAAAACCCTAAGAACACATAGACTGTGATGGTGACTGAAATACAATCCTTTAGGTTTTTTTCTGTCTGTGTTTATCTGAAATTCCTTTTTTAATCTACAGGACTCTTAAGATAATTTTACTATGATTTTTAGTTATAAATTGAAGTCTCAAGATCAGACATAATACATTAATTAACAACCCATTTAATCATGAATGTAGACTTCCAAAAAGTGTGGTTACTATTTTAAAATTACTTATGGGAAACTAGCTATTATTTATTCTTTCAAAAAAACAGAAGCACAAGACTAAAAACATTTAGAATACAAGCAAATGGGGAAAGAATTTAGTAGAGGGATGACTTACCATTCTTACTCAAAAAGAAGACAGAATGCTTCTCTTTCACTATATGAAATTACCTTTAGTTTAATATCAGTGTCAAATCTGACATTTTCCTACAGCCTACCTCATATGTAGTAAAGTTTCTTTAGCTAATAACAGGTTCAAGTTTTCTCCAGGGACTCACCAGAAATTACATTCCAGAATGTACGTATGCCTTAGCCAGGCTTGCAGAAGACAGAAAATGTAAATTGCTGTATTTGAGTTTATATCTTTTTACAGCAAGTCATTGAAAGTGCACCCACTGACCACTATTTGAACTGTGTGCTGCTGATCTGTATATGCCTCTTAGAAAACAGCAGTCATGCCTATCAGCTCTAACACCAGGACTCCAATTCTTTATTTAAGTCAGAAAAATATATAAAATTAGACACCACAAAAGAAAAAAAAAAACCAGCAGCATTCATTTAAATCCTAAAATAATTTACAACATGTTCTCAGACCCTCTTTCAAAGCACGATCGGTTACTTCCTGTTCATGCTCTCCAAATTACCCTTGGTCACACAGACTATGCCACAATTTTTATCCTCATGGTTACAGGAAATACACCAGTGTAGGCCTGTGAACAATGAAAATATGTGCACAAAGTGATGACATTTTGCACATGCAGTTGTCTTGTTTGCTCAGTGGTAGTGAAAGCTATAGCTTGCTCTGTGGATGCCACCACTTTGGACAAACAAAAATACTGAAGGAAGGGATTTTTGAAGTGTATGAATCATTTTATACTGAATTTGTTCAGTATATAAAATAGCTTATTTCTAAAACATAATTCTGCAAAATCAGTCTGGGAACATTCAAGACCAAACTTGCCTTTTCCTGTTTCTTTATTATTGAAAATTCTCAGTATCTAAACAGCATCTTAAATTACAACTGTGCAAACCCACTGACAAGGTAAACTTTGTACATTTTTAATGCGAAGCTTAATTTGAAGATGCGGTTGCAGTGCAGCACTGCAACTGAAAATTGCTTAACAATACCACTGATGTATGAGCCATAAAAAACCTTGCTAAACTGTCCCTGCAGAACTTGGAGTAATAAAAAGGTGTTCTTTTGCACTGAGGTGAACAGACATGGTTGACTGCATCTAGGGAGCTGTTTTGTTAAATGAGAAAGTGCCATTTCTTTCCTGTCACTACAGACCAATTTAAGACACTCATAGATTTAGTTAGCAAAGAGTACAGGATTTACTGAAATATACACATAACAGCAAACAAGCCACGGCTGTGTTCAAAGCTTTCAGTCAGACTGTGTGCAGAATTAAACTTACATCTGTGACAGATGTGAGGAAAAAAACCTAGAAACTTTTCCAGTCTCACTCCTACTTTTCAGAGAAACAAAGGAAGAAAAAAAAAAAAAGATGAATGGAAAAGGTCTAAAGCTTCTCACCTTCATTCCTTTCAAATATCTAGACATGTATTTCTATCCAACATCTAACAGGCGATGTTACAGGCTTTTTCTCCAATTTCAATTTGGCTTTAAGTTCAACCAACAGATTAGGTTTACAAAACTCTAAACTATCAGCTGAGTGTCATGATATCTCTGCTGTGAACTGATGCTTCTTCTCCAAATGATTTCTCCTTCAAGAGGAAAGGACACACACAGGTGTGCTGAATTTGTCTGGGAAGTTGGTTCTCACTTGAGAGGTCCCTCCATAGGCTGATTAAATCACACAAAATCGATTCACAGTTTATGCAACTGCACCTGTGTCTTTTCATACCAATAGTTTCAGAGAGCAATGCAAGTTAACTGTCTGATCTACATGCAACTTCATCTGTCAACAAGTGTTCATTAACCCAACTGTCATTACATTAGAATAAGCTGCAGTAACTCAGAACTCATTTCAGAAGATGTGATACTGGTTAGTTTGGCCAAGCAGTACCAAAATTAAAACTAACAGGATTTGATCTTTAAAAAAATCCCAGAGAAATCTGCTTAATTTCCACAGTTAACCTACCATCAAATTCTGGTTTCAGGGAGTAACAATTCACTAAGGAGATTTTTAGTTTCCTTTATATGAACGTAAGTCACTATATTTCAGTATAAATTCTTGTAGTTGTTTTCAATATGAACAGCTATAACAGAAGATTTAGCAAAATCTCAAAACTACTCCCAAAACAGTCCTATTGATCCACATGCTAATTCAGTCTAGCTTTTGTAACGTTAAAGGTACTCGACTAACAGCTCAGTGAGAGGTTATTCCATTTTTAAAGTTGCAATATTAATTACTACATGATAAAATTAAAATGAAGTTAGCTATGTCTTGGTTTCCTGATAAAAGCATAAAAGAAGTTGCTTTTGGAAATATCAGGTTAAAATGGTACACACTATTCTCAAATGTTTTACACATTTTATAGCTCAAACCAAAACACAATTAGTCATTTTATTCAGCACAAAAAAACCCACAGAAACCACAACTTAACTTTGCAATGGCAATTTTACTGCAAACAACAAATGAATCAGTGCATTCACCCTACTTGTCTACTCACTCCATCTCAACTTAGTGAGTATCTTCATGCTCATTATCTATTTAAAATTCACTTCTTGGAGCTCCTTTTCTCTTGATACTATTGCGTATCCCTTCACACACATTCCTTCTCCTCAGGGAATATTGGAGCCAGTATATCTAAGGGTCTCCTCCCAGTCGGAGCTGATCAATCTCCTGTTATTTACATTGATGTGCAAGTTCAGCACCATTTACATCAAAATCTTTCCTGCCATTCTCACCATTTGCCTAAATATTGTATATAGTCAAATTTCTTTCTAAGTCTTGCACTCTGGTTTTATGATTCACAAATTCTTTTCTACAACTTTCCTGTAGTATAGTGTCTTCATCCAACAACTGACAGTCCTCCTGAGGTTCCCATTACCTCAATTCAGGTTTTCCAAGTCACTGCTTTCTGGGATTGTCAAATAAGAGCAGGTCCTTGTGTCAGTCACGAATGCTGCTACAGAGAATAATTCTGAACTCTGATGATGTTATTGTCAAGATTTAGTTTCCCATTCTCTTCTGCCTCCTACAGAATCTGCTTTTAAGGTATTTCCTAAGCTAAGGCTAGCTATTTTCACCTTGACATATATTCAGCTGAAATGCTAACGGTCACCAGACTGATATTGGCACCCACTGTCTATTTGTTGTATGTTCACACGTTTGTGCCATCTTCTCCACTATCACTCAGATTTAATTGACGCTCTCTTGTGAACACTGAGCAGACTTCTAAAATTATAGTTTTAAAAATCCTTTATTAAAACTTTAATTTACCTCACTTACTACCTTGCTTAGGGTTCTACCACACACAAAAATGGAACTGAAGATGAAGCACCTTGTTTAGGATTTTTTTTTTTAAGAAAAAACCTCCAGTGAGGAGGCTTCTACTACCATAGAAAGATACATATATATATATACACAATAATGACCTTCATAAGAATAAAGTAGAATTATTTTAACCACCTTTACAGAAATGATCTTTATACCAATTCCATCAATATGCTCAAAGATTCTGTCCTGCTTAACGTTATTTCCCCAATTATGTTCCTGCAAATATGTACTACATTTTTTAGCTTGAAGATAATTGTTATTACTGTTTAAAATGTAGATAACACTAAAAAAACTCACTTTATTAAAAACCCCAGTGAAACAGTATTGTCCTAGATACGATGACAATGAGCAGTAAAGTTCTTTATACAGAAAGCCCATTTAGTTAGACTGTGAAGATTTTATAACAAATTTGGCATCTTGCAGGTATTACAAAACGTTACAGGAAAATCTTCCTTCAAAGTCAGGTACTAAAAAACCTGATGCATAACTTCTGTACCAAAGTAACTTATTCTGTCATCTAGCATCACTGTAAAAATACCATATATATCTGCTGCATGTCAACAATTATGATGTGAATTTTTCAGTAATATTTCAGCATCCAAATTTGACATACTAATTAATACCATTTTGCCCATGGTTAAGGCCACCCCTTGATCACAAGCCCCTCTACATGACACATTCAAAATGCCAGATTAGTAACACGTATTTTGTTCACATGGCTTAATAAAAAAGTCACTAGTGTTATTTCCAGTAACCTCTTTCAAAAACGCAGTCCTACTTATATGTAAGGAAAAATAACAGAAATGTACCTGTTCCAGTAGCTCCAAAACTGGTCCTGCAAGTAGGTTTGGTGGCTACTCTCATCACCAAATGAGGCTTTGCTTTCAATCCAGTGAACTATGTGTCCTTCAACAGCTAGTGTGATAGCAGAAAATACAGTGAACTCTAAAAATCAAACTCAACAGCCTGTAAGAATGTGTTTGGGAATATCCTATTGCCCCCCAATCTATCACATAATTCATGCTTGCAACAGAGTTACATATTTGTAAATATATCTTTCAAATATGTACATAGGACATTTTTTCAAAAAAGTACTAGAAAATATTTTAATGGAGAATTATATCAATTTTATCTCTAAAAGATCATTCTTTCTCCAAAACATAATGTTGGGTATCACTACTGAGGTCTTTACAAATGTTTCCTTTATTATGAGTTCCCTATGATATCCACAGCCATGACGTCTCAGCCTAAGTTTGACCTGGGATGAGGTACTTAAAGGGCATGCAGACCCAGAAGCACAATACAGAAAGATTAGGAGAGGCTATTGCAGCACATGATTGACCACAGACTGTAAAATTACTCAGGAAATCTGGGTAAATAACTCATTAAGCCACCATACTAAGGTCTATATCCACCACTACCCTGCTGTCAGTAACCAACTTGTGTAGGTCTACACTAGTACATCGTCCCCCTACCCCCAAAACCTTTAGATCCCAGGAGATACAACAGCTGAGGCATAAACTGTGTAGTCAGTTGAGAAGCAATTTCTAAGAAACATTTGCCTTTTGTAGCAATATACTGAGTCATGAAGAAGAGAATGCAAGGACTGCCATACATTAGTTCAGATGGGACAGCAGGTAGAAAATTTTTTTCTTCCAATCTCGAGTGACCAAAATAATTTGAGGAAAGTAATACACTATCACTATTTGTATTTTTAAAGACAAATCCATGCAAAGAAATTAAAGGCTATTTTTAACCTTCTTTAATAGGGTAATGTCCTGGGTTAAGCTGAGACAGAGTTAACTTTCTTCATAACAGCTAGCAAGAGGCTGCGGTTTGGCTTTATGCTCAGAAGAAAGCTGATAAAAAGTGATGTTCATGCAGCTGCCAAGGTCTTTCAGCATCTCTGGCTGTCTGCAGACTGCAGAAGCTGGAAGGGAGCACAGCTCCAGTTACTAGCCCAGGATTTGATCTTAGGTTTGGGACTGAGACCCAGAGTGGCCAATAATCTATTCCATAACATACACGTCATGGCCAGGTGAGGACCCTCCGGAAGTTTGTCCCTTTTGGTTCCGGATCTCTTTTGCTCTAGGTGATCTCGCTCCAAGTGGTCCTTCTCCCAAGGCCTTCCCCCCTCCACCCTGGTCAGCTCTCGGTCTGGGATGCTCAGACTGTTATCTCTGTTCCGTGAGTGCGGTTTTGGGGCTCTCCCTGCTCTGGGATCATTAGCCGGGAACAAGCAGAGCCTTGGTCATCAGGTATCACTGTGCATCACTCACTTGTATATCTGCATATACTATTATTTTCAATATTATTGTAGTTTAGTTATTAAATTGTTCTTATCTCAACCATGAGTCCTTTTTCACTTTACACCTTTAATTCTCTCCACCATCCTTGGGAGGGGAGAGGGTGAGCAAATGGGTGGCAGGGTTGGCTCCAAGCCAAGGGTAAACCCATCACAGGTAATACTACAAACCCAAGTATTCTTTTGGGTGTTTCCCAGTTTCCCTTTTCAAGTAATAAAAAAAAATTAGCTCCATCTAGTTGCTCTTCTAGTTTCCATTTAATCAAGCTCCTGAATACTGGGATATAATCTTATTTGTTTCTAATGTCAAAGTGAATATTTTAATACCAAGTACATATTGTGTATATTGTTGGGGAATCTTATCAATGTATATATCTGACAGGCAGGTTTTAAGAAGAATGAGCCAGGCTCTTTTTAGTGGTGCGCAGTGTGTACAGGCCCAGAGGCAATGTGCACAAACTGAAACACAGAGGGTCTCTCTGAACATCTGGAAACACTTTCACTGTGAGGGTGACTGAGCACTGGTACAGCTTGCCCAGAGAGGTTGTGGAGTCTCCACCCTTGGAGATAATAAAAAGCTGTCTGGACATACTCCTGGGCAACTCGCTCCACGTGACCCTGCTTGAGCAGATGACCACCAGAGGTTCCTTCCAGCCTCAGCCAACAAAAAAAGGTATTTTTTTATTTTGTACATATAACCTCTTATTAACATCACTACCCTTTTTCTTTTTTGGAAATGTGATTAGGAATACAAACATCAGTGAGCTATGGAAAGTCTAAAAACTTTTCAGAAGACTCTCACATACATAGTTGTTTATCTATTGGATAACAGATTATTGTGCTGAAAGATGGTATCTCAAGCACTTCTGAGTAGAGAGACATTTTATAGTACACACTCAATTCCTTATACCAGTATATAAATCAGTTATCTCAGTAACAATGTCAACTGCTGTCAATATGAAGAACAAAAAACTAGTCATGTATATGACTTTCACACAGCGCCTTCAGCCTTCTTACTTTCTCTGATAAACCCAATGGTAGGCATCTGCATAGACAGGTGCTGCATTCTATAGAGGCGAAGCAGAAATCTTTCGGCATGAAAGCAAGTTTACAAAAGGTGATTAATAACCCTTCACACTTGGATTACATGGATTTTTTTTCTTCCACAGCTCAGCCATTAGGTTATCTGATTACCTTCTTACATGGCCTCAAGACCAGAAAACACAGATGAACTTTGACATAAGCTTTATATCTACTTTTATTCCTTCTTGCTTCTTGCTATGTAGGCTTTTAAGAAGCAATAGGGAACTGCAGAGTTGTATTTAGATGCAAAGTGATGGCAAAAGAATAACGGCATAACGACAAACCTTTATGCAATAACTTATAGGTGTAACAGTAATACTCTTAAGACTGCTTTGAACTGATTTGCGCTAGAAGTTTAAGACAATTATCGGTACTTGAGAGTTCAGTTCATAAAGACAGTGGGCAGAGCAGGTTAGAGAGAGCAGGGATTTAGAGGTTCTTATTGTTGCTCGTTTTGTTTCTTTTTGTGATAATAAGACAAAAATATGCAGAGAGCAAAGAGGAAACACCAGGTAATACTACTTACAATCAAACCTCTCTGACCCAAACTAAAAGTTCTTAAAATTATTGTATAACTATGGAAAAAAATGAGAATAATTTGTAGTATTCTATAATATACTTCACTTAAGTAGCCATAATATTTTAGCATGAACACTTCTACACAAAATAAAATAATCAAAATTATTTTAAAAGACTTACCTACTGGCACTTCTAAAATAAAGTCTGGTGTTTTGTCGTAACCCTTTGCACGAAGCTGATCTTCAGCTATATATAGAGAATAAGAACTATTGTTTATAAAACTATTCTATTAAGTAGACAGCAGCATAATTAATTTTCTTTTAAATAGGAGTGCAAGAATTACTAGTACAGTCATACATATCTTTCTTATGCATGCAATGCTGTGTCAGATTAAATGAACCTTCGTAGAAAACCTGAAGCATGGATATAAAAATGCTTCTTTGTCATCCCTGCATTTTTATGTCTTCATTATAAACATCATTAATTCAAGCTGTCATACAGTATTTTATAACCCTCAAATATTCAAAATAAAGAGGTATATTCACTGATTGAAAGAAGAGTCTCCCCACATTAGGATGCTGTTAAGATTAATCCTACCAGCACCACAAATGTAGATATACTGTAGCTGCCTTATTGGTTTTATTTTAATGTTAGCATAAAGTTGTTAAAAAAGGAACACGAAAATCCTTCTCTTCTAGAAATTTATTAAAGGAGAGAGAAGCCACAATTTTATTCTCTTGTATCCTGCGTTCTATAGAATTTATCTAATTTCAGAACACAGAAAAAAATTTAAAAATTCTGCTAACATTAACTATACAACTCTATTGCTTACAAACATTAGAGCTGAATATTTCAAGAAACAGTAATAAGGACTGAGCAAGATAAAACTGCAAAAGACAACAGATGCTTCCTTTAAAAAAAAAAGCCAAAGCAAGCCCTTAATATTTTCTAAACTATTGTCCTTGATTTCCAATACTATTATATTGGTATTTCTGAAACACCATTTCTCCATTAGAATTTGGAGTGACCTGGTCATTCAATTCCAGGCATGGCTTTCTGTCTTCACCCAAGCTCAACTAATGGCACTACCTAGTAACAAGTAAGGCTGTGTAGCCCCTTAACACCTACTGGGCTGTTGACATTGTCATGCATCCCATTCGCCTTTCTACATCACCTTTGATTAAAATTAATGGTCCATTCTCACTGTTGGGTAGCTTACTTCCAATCCATTTATCAGGTTTGGACAGTAGTCTCATGGCCAATGTTCAGAACTCAGTTTTAGAATACGTTGTGCATATCCTGAAAGGTCAGCAGTTTGAGTCCAAGTAACATTTTAATGACAAGAAAAACATACACTCTTAGAAATAAAAATATTTTAAAAGTGCCTAAATCAAGCTTCCCTCCTCTTCTCACTGAAGAATATAACTTTGAAGTATTTTTTTATATTAGTGAACTAATACTGAAAGCGGGACAGGAGTAATTTTGTAAAGTTGTACATTCACTTAAGTGTAAACTGCAATAGCTGTTTACTCTTTCTGATAGCTGTAGCGTTTTAATTGAAATTTTAGAGTATTTCTTCACTGTAAGCACACCGCATTGTAAATACAAGTCTTTACAATGCAACACCTCATTATATCACCCAATCAGCTATTAAACCTTTCTAGGATTCAGAGACAGACTTGGTTGTTGGCTATTTTTTCAAAGATTGTCAGGCATATGGATAAAAGATGTTTACACTAACAATGTTCTAATTTAACAGAACCTATAAATAGAGGGTTTTATGCCATAACATAAAAATGAGTTAATATTCTAAGTAATCTCTTAATCTTGATAAAAATAATCTAGTTTTACCCAATTCTATGTAACTGTAATCTCTCTTAGTTGTTTAAAACGGTCTAGAAAAGACAACAGGATGTCCCAGTTCAAATTTTCATTATTTGAGAACACTGAAATGGCAATAGAAAGTTCAGTCTGTTCTATCACATCTAACAAATACTAGTATCACAATTTCAGGGAAATGTACTTTTAAGAAGCCCACTGAAAATCAGGACAGATGTAAAAACATTTCCTGATAGGTCAACTTGGCAGGTGTCTGAACTGGAGTTTGCATCAGCATTACTTTTAATATTCCTCAGCAGACCCTTTTTTCAAGGATGCCTGATTACTTTTAAAATCGTTTGACACTAATGTATGGCTTAAAAAAACATGATTTTTGTTTTAAATCTGTTTCTGAATGTTTTTGCTTGGTTTCTCCTAACATTTTTTATTATGATAAATATTGGAAAATATGTTTATAACATGTTCATTTTTTTACGTGAGTTGTCTATCATGTGCAGGAGCATATTTACATGTTAGTCTTTCTTCAAGTATTTTGAAGCTCTATAACTTTGGAGAAAAAATAAATGAAAGAAAAAGAATTACAGAAACTCCCCACAATCACCATAAACTTTTTTAAAAATCAAAACCCCACAAAAATAAAAGACGTTTTCAGCCTAGGAAGCTACAGAAGTATCATTCTGCACCTTAAAAGATCTTTTAGCTCCTGCATGGATGAAGAGAACAACTTAACAATTGTTTGAAAGCCAGCCCTCAGGAGCTTTGACAATTACATGTATGCATCCTCATATTAGAAACTACATTGAAACAGCCCTAATAAGTAGTTATTCTACAGATTCCCCATTTATTCAGATTTCCAACAAAACTGGAGCTTCATCTTCACTGTAACTTCACACTCAGTCCTAACCATTTAACACATCATTGTTCTTATACTAGCCTCTGGATATAACAAGGAAACCAAACATTCTTCTGTTGGTGCATGAATAAGCAGCAACTGCCAATTTACAATTACACCAGAAAACACTGATCAGATTTCATGATTTATATACAGGCTGCTACTGAGGCCCATCATGGCGGGAACCAAAGGAGGATAAGATTCCAGACAAAGGTCAGAAACATACCTTCCCATTAGAGCTAAAAGCTTTCTTAATATATTCACGACAAAGACATGAAAAAATTAAGATCCTATACAGAACTTAGAAATTCCTGGCATTTCAGTATGGCAAGTGAAGAGAATGCCTCCATTGATCACTTTAATCTCAGATGAAGTTATGAAAGACTTGAGAGCTGTGTTTTTGCTGAAGAGAGGATGTGGTATATGATGTGCTTCTCACGAACAGTGCATTACTAAAACACAAACCTCATTAGTTTGTATAAGTTTCCAATCAATTTCTGGGTGAATCTGAAGGTGCTACTTCTGATCTGTAGGCTTTGAAAGGTAACTGCTCTAGAAACAGTCAAATTATGTCCTGGACCTGAAAACCTGTTCCATGCTCCAAGACTACACTGGGGCAATTTAGATTCACTGTGTTCTTTGACTGTGCTTTCTTCTCCTGCAATAGACCCTCTGGTGCCCAGGTGAACACATCTAATACAAAAAAACTTACTATTCTTGAAGAATAGCACGCTGGAATAGTACACTGACATAGAAACGGCAAGAATTCTGCTTCTTTAACATGTTAAAAGTAATGGAATTGCAAGTACAATAATCTAAGTCATAAGCCATCTTCAACACTTCAACACACAGTCTTATGCATAGCCTAACAAAGCCTGAATTTGTTGACTTACAGGAAATAATGTAATCTCTTTTGTTTCCCTGGGGTTTTCTTCAACTAGTTTTGGAACAAATTTTTCAGAAAGGAAGGACACTATTGCCAGATGTTCAGTAGGGTTCATCTTGCAGATACTTACGAAAGGCATTTTTAAAAAAAAAAAAAAAATTAAAAAAAATCACACCCAGAACCTTAGAGACACATGCAATGCACAGAAATAAAAATACAACCACTTAACATATCTTAAATTATGACTAAACAATATTCAGTATACATAAAATGTAAACAATAAATTAAGCTCTTTCACTGATATCTTTACAGTCTAATGAATTAACCCATTCTAGATATTTTGGTTTGACAGCATACATTTCTTAGAGCTTATTTCTAAAGACAAAGCTGATGTTCAACCAAACATTAAAATTTAAATCTGATTTGCATACTACACAAGCTTGCACAAGCCAAATAAAATGATAATCGTTGGGTTGAGGACCCACTAGTGAGTTATCTAGTCCATTCCCTTGTATCGTGACAGGACTGATTTCATTAGCAGCTTTGATGGATGAGTCTCAAGTCTAGCCTTGAATTTCTCGTTGGAGGCGATTCCATAACTTTCCCCGGCAGCTTTATATTTACTGTTCTAGAAATGTTTAGTATTTTAACTCAGCATCACCTCTGCAATTACAGCTTAAGCCTCTTACCCATATCTCTGCTCTTATTAGCCAAGTAGAAAAACCTGCCTCACATTTTCGTAGTGTCATTTGCAAGTTTGTATGCAACAGTTATTCCTTTTTTTCATTTTTCTCTAAAATAAGAGAGCACACTAACTCTGTTTCTTAATCGTATGAACAAATCTTAAATACTTTAATACTCTCTCTAATTTCTTAAATTTGTTCAAGGTTTCAAAAATCTTAACGTGAATCTAGCTTTAGGAGAGATCACAGTTTCCGGTAAAAACAGCAAAATTCCCTGATCACACAAATTTAGTACAACACTCAACCATTAACAAAAGACAGCATTTCACTTTGTTATTTTCTCATCACATAAGGAATTCAAGATATAAGACGACATTGTTAAGTTTATTATCACAATAAGAGAAAGATGTTTTAAACACTAATCATTAATGGCACTCATATACAAGAAACTTAGTGTAGGATAAAAGAAAAAAAAAAAAAAGGAAATAACTTCCTAACTAATGAATCCTTAAAATAACTTTAAATATAAGGATTGTGAAAAGAATGCTTGTGTTGGTTGGGAGGCAGAGGACAAAAATTCATCAGAAACTACACAGAAAACTAAATGCATGAATCCTCTAGCAGTTCTTTAATACATAAAGCATTTTGAAGCTAATATTTCTTATGCTTCCTCCTAAGTCTCATAAGGCCTAGATTATGGCTAATATCTCATGACACCAAAAGTAATACTGCAGCACATATTAAAGCATTTTTTTCAGCTACTTATTCTATAAAATATTAATTGCAAGCCTGTGCATGTGCTGTACATATAGGGTATTAGGTAACTGAGTTCCTGCTCAGTTCTAAATCAATAAAAGATAACACGTACAGCATCAATCATTTTTTACTCTTCCTTTATTACCTAATACAAAGAGCACTGAGGCTTATTTTTTTAAGTAAACAGTCACTGAAATCTTTTAAGTTAAGGATTCACTGGCTAGCCTCTACCACAGATTCTTACCTATGAAAGAGAGATTTTTTTCCAAAAGCATTTCTCGCAGCAAGACTTCATGCTCATGCCCAATAGCACTGATAGCTTTAGGTTAAGAACTGGAAGATAATTCTGGAAAAGAACCAACTTCAGAAAAACATCATAGGTAAAGTAATTAAGTGTAAAATCTATTGGTATTCACCTGTATTTCAGAAATGATCAGTGATCTGAACTCTAAGTTTTGAAATTCCTTACAGGGATTTTCAGAGTCATTTAGCACTTTGTGAAAATCAGACTACTATATCATCAACATACATTTTACAAAATTAAGACCCATTAGATCGTACTTATTCAGTATAAATAAGGGTAATATTTCCACTTCTGCTTTACTTCCCACGCAAATTTAAAATAAAGTGTGAGCTTAAAAAACGTCGTTGAATACCTTTTAAGTTGCTTTGACTGACCAGTGTATCAATTCTCTAATTCAGCAAAGAATGAAATTAACTGTTTTTTTCTCTATATTCTGAAACTGATAGGCACTACATCCATCCGAAACGTCTTACGGTAACAAAACATCCTTTTAATTGATTTTTCAGAAGCATGAACTAATGTCAGCAAAGGATGAAATAATATTTCATAGTGAAGTCCTTTTCACTTCACTGACGGCCTGCTGATCCAATGTACTATTTTTAGCAATATGTAAAAAAGTCACCACATCAAATATTTTTAATGTATCCTCCTGGAGGTCAAAGTTCTCTTCTGGAAGCTTTTAAGAAGAATCTTACAGAACATCATGATAAAGGATCTTACATTATAAAAAGTTAAGTTCCTAATACTATTTAGAATTACTTCTGAAAACTTAAACTACAGATCACCTTACCATTAGACTTAATTACTATCAACACTTTGTGCTGAACAGCAAAAACCTAATTGTATAGAATCATTTCACATATATATATACACACACACACACAATTTTTATTAACTGAAATTATATATTATGTTAAACTCTACAAGCAGTTACAGAACAAAAGAGGCAAATGAAGAACAGCAAAAATGTAAGAAAAATACTGGAAACATAATTTATAATGCACCATAAGCAGAAACACTTAGACTTAGTCTATAATACCTGTTATTGATGGCAATGACCATGGGGCAAAACTTGTAAATAACCTCACAAGCCATTTTCTACTCATGCAATCTAGCAGCCCAGTTTCCCGTAAGCATCTGAATTATTACTGAAAAATAGCCTCTTGGCATTTACAAAGAGGTTGACTTCCTACTTTAGTCCATGCATATACAATTAGATAGTTATATTTAAAATCAATATGTAATCCTTCAGAAGACATTATGTTTTTAAAACCTTAACTTTAAATTGATTTTTAACTATTTTATGCACCTCAAAATTAACATCTAATTCAGCAACATACTTGCAGATAATGCACTCTCACAGCTTAGTATTAAACTTTTCTGTACCAAAATGGAATTGAAAAACTGCTTCTTATTCTCACTGACGTCACTGTGTATTCAATAACTTCACTTGAACAAGAATCTTAAGAGGATAGAAAAGACCTTTTCAGACTGCAGAGAAGTTATTCTTAAGAACTGTTCATAATTCTACATATGTGTTGTTATCACTTTTAAACAAGACACTTTCAAAAGACTATAGCCAGATTGTTCATCAACCAAATAATAATCTTAATTCTGGATATGAAAATTAACGATCAACAACCTTTTAAAAAGTGTAATTTAGTAGATTAGTCCACTTTCAGAGAGCTGTGTTTAATGCTGAAGATAGTCTCAATGAATACAAATACAATTAGAAGTCTATCCTGCTGCTGTTAAAGTTAATGGGAGCAGGGCTGAGTCTGTAGTAGACACCAGGCAAATATTTCTAGTGGAAAGAACATTTTTAAGGGACGACCACCACATGTATCACAACTACAAGACGTGTTTTTCATGCATAAATAAACATCATTGTAGCTTTCCTATACTGCAACCGTACAGTAATATCAAGATCTTCGCCCAGAAAGCATGCAGAGATTTATGCATGGATTCTCTAGGGCTTGGGAGGGAATTGCCTTGCTAGCCTGCTCAGTGATAGCAGGCCATGATTTTGGAATTATTCCTTTGATAGCAGACTCAAACACAAAAAGGAAACCTACAGAGGGTGGAAGCAAGGTCAGGCAGCTGGGGGGCGGGGGGGGAGGGGAATACAAAGAAACTGTCTGAGCACCCAGGGATCCGGTTAGGTAAGCTAAAGCCCTCATAGAATTAAATCTGGACAGGGACATCAAGGGCAACAAGAAAAGCTTCTATAGGTACATCAGTGATAAAAGGAAGAGTAGGGAAAATGCGGGACCTCTCAAGAAGGAAACAGTAGACCTGGTTACCCAGGATATGGAGAAGGCTGAGGTACTCAATGACTTTTTTGCCTCAGTCTTCACTGGCTAGTGCTCAAGCCAGACCACCCAAGTCACAAAAGGCAAAGGCGGGGACTGGGAGAATGAAGAACTGCCCACTGTAGGAGAAGATCAGGTTCAAGACCATCTAAGGAACCTGAAGGCGTACAAGTCCATGGGACCTGATGAGATACATGCATGGGGCCTGAGGGAACTGGCAGATGAAGTTGCCACGCCACTATCCATCATACTTGAGAAGTCATGGCAGTCTGGTGAAGCTCTCACTGACTGGAAAAGTGGAAACATAACCACCACTTTTGAAAAGGTAAAAAAGGAGACCCAGGGAACTACAGGACGGTCAGTCTCACCTCTGTGATCTGGCAAGATCATCAAGCAGATCCTCCTGGAAACTATGGTAATGCACATGGAAAATAAGGAAGCGATGGGTGACAGCCAACATGGCTTCACTAAGGGCAAATCGTGCCTGACAAATTTGGTGGCCTTCTATGAGGGGGTCATGGCGTTGGTGGCTGAGGGAAGAGCAACTGATGTTGTCTACCTGGACTTGTGCAAAGCATTCGACGTTGTCCCGCAAGACACCCTTGCCTCTAAATTGGAGACATGGATTTGACGGAAGGATCACTGGGTGGATAAGGAAGTGGCTGGATGGTCGCAATCAAAGAGTTGAGGTCAACGGCTCAATGTCCAAGTGGAGACAGGTGATGAGTGGTGTTCCGCAAGGGTCAGTGTTGGGACTGGTGTTGTTTCACATCTTTGTTGGCGACATGGACATTTGGATTGAGTGCGTCTTCTGTAAATCTGCTGACAACACTAAACTGGGGCAATCCCAAGCACAAACACAGGCTGGGCAGAGAATGGATTGAGAGCAGCCCTGAGGAGATGGACTTGTGGGTGCTGATTGATGAGAAGCTTAATATGAGCTCAATGTGAGCTTGCAACCCAGAAAGCCAACCGTATCCTGGGCTGGATCAAAAGAAGCATGACCAGCAGGTCCAGGAAGGCAATTCTCCCCCTCTACTCTGCTCTCATGAGACCCCACCTGGAGTGCTGCGTTGAGCTCTGGGACCCCCAAATGTAAGAAGGACATGGACTGGTTGGAGGCAGTAGAACAGGCTGCCCAGAGAAGTTGTGGATGCTTCATCCCTGGAGGTGTTCAAAGCCAGGTCAGATAAGGCTTTGAGCAACCTGATCTAGTAGAAGGTGTCCCTGCCCATGGCAGGGGGGTTGGAACTAGATGATCTTTAAGGTCCCTTCCAACTCTAACCCATCACACCATTCTACGATTCTATGAAACAGAAGAGCTACTCATTCAGGACTTTATTAAAACACATCTGGGGTCACAGTGATCATTCCTAACAAATTATAATCCTAGTCTGGAATACTCAGTACTATGTGGCATTTCCCGAGTATTCTCACTGAATACTGAGGATCTCTAATTAACCATTTCAACACTACAAAAAAAATCCCTTAAAATTCATGCTACATAGGCTTTTTTTTACAGCTAGCTTCATTTCCTTTAAGAAGAACAGAAAGAACTACACTGGAATATCAGATATGAGTTTAAAAATACTAATTGGTCAATCACACCTGAATTGCATTTGAAAACATTCCAGTCAAAACTCATATTCATAACAAAGCAGTGCCACAATGTTGAACACTATCTATGCAATTTATTAATTAAATCACAGAATAATTGAGATTGGAAGGTATCTCCAGAGATCACCTAGTCCAACACGACTACTCAAAGCATGGTCAACTAGTCTCAACAGAAAACCAGGCATGCATTTCAACTAATGAAAACCAAAGAGGTTCAGTCAGGTATATGAATGTGCAGCCACCAAACTGACAATTTCTCGTGGTCCATCTGATTTTTGTTCAACAGTATAAGAGAAAGCTCTGCAGTGAACCTCTAGTTGATTGAATGTAAAACAGAGGAGTACAAAATGTGTTTTGTGAAGCAGAACTTTATGTCAGGCTAAAGCTAGACACATCTCTTCCACACAGTCTAAGCTCGTCAATTGTGCACCTAAAATTTTATGGGAAAGGATACTGTTTGATGCAGTCCACCAGTGGTCCATAACAACAGTCATTCACAGTACACTGCAGACAAATAAGAGAAGTAGTATAGTGATGGGCAACTACAAAACCTTTACAGTTAAACAGTATCTTAAAAACAGTAATTACTTTTCTTTAAAAAGGCTATCAGATGTTGTTTAGATTTAATCACAGAAAACAAAAACTGCATGCTTTTATTCACTATAAAAGCAAGCTATTAAAAAGTGAAATGCTCCTCTCACAAATATTGCATTGCCATTTATGGTGCACCCTGACCTCACTGATAGTTTACGATGACAGTAATTAAATGAGGTTTAAAATCTTTTAGTCTGATAAGCAGATAACAGCATTGCCACAGAAAAAAAAAAAGAAAAAAAAAAAGACAACTGTGATTAATACCTGATAGACTTGATTTGCTAGAACTCCATCTGGAATCTGAGAAGGGTCCCGTAGCATAGTATTTATAAGAGTTTTGGAGGCTAGAGAAACAAAGAATAAAAACATATGAAAAACCTGTTATCTCCGTTGTTCACTTGGCAGGAAGAGTCTCAAGGAAAACATTGATGATGCTGATAATTTAGAAAATTACCCAACCAGCGACTATAAACCTATAAATTTGTAGCTACTTACCCATTGTGATAGGATTAACTCTAGAAGTCTTTAAACACCAAAGCATTTTATTAGCACAGAGTGAAGCAGGCCTTTGTTTACTTATTCCGTTTCACTGGACAGTTTGTGCTTCAGAAGCATCAAGCAGCTAAGGAAACTGCTTAGCAGAAAGAAAATGTAACTCAAAATAATCTCCATGTCCTATGAGAACTTAAGGAAGAAGATACATAAAAATTCGAAACAGCCTTTAAAAACAATGTTTGGTCTCAACAATCTTAGGCACTTTATAGACTTGATGATTCCAGCTTAGTGATTTTCAAATTTATTTATTTACTTATTTAGTGTTGACACATTTATTTGACTGTATTTAAAGCTGGCAAAGGGCTTTCTGTGCTATTTTCAAATGTATAAATCTAAGCCACAAAAGAAATCAGAAGCCAATTTAGGACTATTTATCAGTCTTTTATTCATTGATATTGATACTAAAATGAAAAAAGTAACATAAATCTCCAGATGCTTAAACTGGGTAGTGGCATATACCAGTTAATTACTAATAGTAGTGGAAAGTTTTTATTTTAGAAAAATGCATTCTAAAAACATCAAACATTTAATTCTACAGTTTCTCAGAGAAAAAACAACACTGCTGTGCAAGCACAAGCTGCCTCCTTCCTGGGAACAACTGCTGATAAGAGTTCAGCTGATGGTATATTTATACCATTGAATCACTAAGTGTAGATGAGGCTTGAGACTAGCAAGGTTTCCAGCTTTGCCAAAGATTTCCTGTGTGACTCCAGGCAAATTCCTCTAACCTGTGTGTGCTTCAGTGGTGTAAACAAAGTGAAAAAACTACTCTCTTCCTGTTCTTCCTCTGTTTTGCCTCAACTCAGGGCCAAAACTTTGTCACTTTCTTCAGTGATGGAATCAAAAGGCTCAGATGACACTGTGAAAATAACTCCTTGAACCTGTGACATGAAGGGATCTGCCATATAAGCTGCAATGCTACTAGTATTAATGAATGTGTGTAAATGCTTTGCTGAAAGTACAAAAGACAGTAATTTTAATCTTCTCCCCAAATGTTGTCTCCTAAAAGCATCCCATGCAGTTTAAAGTAGTATTTTCAAGAAAATATTTTGTTTAGAAAACTACACCCTAACGCAAAGGAATATAAAACACAAAATTAGTTTAAAGGCTTTGCAAGAGCTACAAAGAATGGCATCATCACAGGCAGGAATAAAAGTTTGTGCATATGTTTTTAAAGAGAATGATGTACTAAGCCAAAACACTTCCAGACACATCATTCCATATTATATACTTGTATCTTATTCACCTCACATAAAATAACCATTACTTGTAACGAATTGTAAGAATTCTTGTAAAGAATTGTAAGAATTGAAGTTAATTGTAAGAATAAATAGGCATTTCACTTCAGCTTGTCTACATTGATAAAATGCATTCTGTACACAGGATAAAATCTTTGAAAATGTGAACCAGAGGGCAGTTTATTTACTGCATTAAAACTAAAAAATAATAACATTTTGTGAGTAGGTAGGAATAATACACAAATAGCAGTTTACCAATAGGTTGACAGAATGGTAGAATAATGAAGAGTGTAACTGAGGAAGACTGAGTAGAACTCACTGTTTTGAAGAGCTACTGATTTAACTATCATGACTTGATTATAAAAAAATTAAGCTATTTTATGACTGATCAAAAACCAGCAAAACCCCAGAGATTCACATTAGAGAAATGTTTAACTGGACACTATGAATAACGAGCTACAGGTGCAAAATAAATTTTCTCTATTTCTGTGACTGTCAGCTTCAGTTTCTCACTTGAAGTTACCAGACATTCTATTCTTTACCTATATCAGAGTAATAATGAATTGACATATTGAATTTCATATTATGCTAATGCCACATTGTTTCTACAAAGTTTTAAATTAAGCCTATAAAAGAAAAGGCATCAAACAAAACCGACTGCTATACTAGCTTTCAATATATTATCTTTCCTTCTCATGTAAACATTATCTGCTCATGCAGTGTCCTGCTAAATTAAAAAAAACCAACTACGTATTGTTAATTTTGTACCACCTACGAAGCTAAGATAAGGTATCTTCAACTGTAATTTTTACCGGAGTGGCAGCATACCAACAGGCTGATTGCGTAAAAAACAAAACAGCGTGAAGTGCTAAGGTTTTTATATGAAAAATGACACCAGTCAGAAAATAAAGTTTATTGAAACACTATTCTTGCATAGATCTCTTCCTTACTTAATCAAAACTAAGATGACACCGGTGAATATTTAAACAAAAGTAGGCCATCTGCTCTTCTTACTCTAGTTGCTATGTTACCTCTAGTTGTGGTCAAACTG